AAGTTTAAAAAGTATAAAGCATTATAAAGTATAAACTTACATCAAATGACAAATATCTATGTGCTCTCCACGTAGACTCAATATGATTTACCATTTTTTTCATGTTTATCTTAGATCCTTTTTCATTAAAGAAATAAAACTGGAGATAAAGTTGAAGTATCCTTGATACTATATCCTACCCTAATCCGATTCTCCTTTTTCTTTCCTCAGAGATAATTACAAGCTGATTTCTTGTTTTCATGTTTTTACTAAATATTTATCTTTTCACAAATAATACAGAGTATTGTGCTATGGGTTTTAATTTTTACATAAGTGATATCATACTGTAAATATTGCTAAACAACTTGCTTTTTCCTATGAACATTCTGTTTTTAAGATAATCCAAAGTGAGGTATGTAGATCTAGTTCATTCCTTTAAACCATACCATAAACATACAATTTATTTATGCAATCTATGTTGTTTAGTTAGGCTGTTCCATTTGTATGCACGCATGCATATGTGTATGTGTGTGTGTGTGATTAGAAAGGATTACATGGTGAATATCCTAGAACTTGTCTTCTGCTACACATGTGAAAGAGTTTCCCTAGGATAAATCCCTTGGAGAGGATTGTCAGGTCATCAACCATGCATATTGTCGAGTTTACCAAATATCAACAGAAGAGTTGAACTAGTTGACCCTTCTTCTGTGAATAGTCAACAGTTTGTTTTTAAGCATAGTTTTCAGTACTGAGTATTATCAAACTTAAACATTTTTTATAGTGGGTCAATGCTATCTCTGTATATAAATTTGTAATTTTTGGACTACTGATGAGGTTGAGCTCTTATATTGTAGTTATTGGCTATTCAATTTTCCCCTTCTAGAAACTGTTCATTCTTATACTTTGCCCAGTTTTTATCTATTGGATAACAGAAAAACCGTCCTTATGTATTTTATGTATTAGAATTCTTAAAGTTATATCATGCAAACACTTCTCCCAGCCTATGGTTTGTTTTTTGACTTTGATTCCTGTATATTATATAAAAGCTTAAAATTTTATGTAGTCTGGTTAATTAATATTATCCTTTATAGTTTCTGCTTATTTATGTTTTATATTAGAAATCCTCTTCTATCCCTACTTTCTAAATATATTCTGTATTTGCCACTAAAAATTAACTTTTATTTTTGACACTGAATTTTTAATCCCACTGGAATTTATTTTTGTTTATGGTATGATTAGGATCTAATTTTCTTTTCTTCCATATGGATAGCCTATTTCCCCCCAGCCATTTATCAAATATTCCATTGTACTACAGAGTGCTTATCTTAATAGTCATTTTCCTCTCTTTCACGTTGGCAGAACACCAATTTTGTTTCAGTGTCTACTTTTTTCCCAACATGGTTCAGGCAAATCCTGATTGGTCTTAGACTATCTCAGTATTCTCATTTCCATACCTAGTAATAGCCATTCTAGCCAAAGAAAGCCAAAGGGAAGTTTGCTAGAGGTGCCTCTAGGGGAGGTTTTCTTTGCCTTGATAGGAAAGATACATAATGAAGAAATAAGCTCCTTTTTCAGCCTCTTGATGTATGTTTGTGGATACTTTAAGCATTTGGTGGTAATGACATCCTAAGGAAGACAGAACAGAACCTGAATCCTTAATAATGACTTTGAGCTTTACCTCAAAATATTTTGTTTTGTCAGATGATAATTCTTCTCATTGTTTAAGCCCTTTTAGTTGGTTTTCTATTCTTTGGAGTCAAAGTATATTCATCCTTTTCCCATGGATATGTAATATATAAAGATCCCATGTAAAATTGGGTTTGTAACTCAGCTTTTAGTCTGTTCTAGTGGTCAGTTTATCCATCACAGGTGTTTTTAAATCCATATATTCAATTTTATGCTTTTCTCTATAAAAGAGATTG